CCCCCTCCTCCTCGTCGTCCTCCACTTCCTCCTCCTCCTCCTCCAACTCCTCCGGATCCACTGCATCCGTAGGTAGCCCCGCGGCAACCCAAGCTTCGCGCCTAGCCCGGATCTGCTCAAGGAGCTCGAGCTAGCGCTCTGGCGTCAGAAATGACTCGCTCCTCACCCAGCGGTGTGGGGGCATGGCTACTAGGCGGGCAGGTGGAGTGGAAAGTGGTGGCAGCGGCAGACAGGAGGACGAAAATATTGATGGATGATAGGGTGTCGGTGCCGCCGGTCAACTTAAATAGCCGGGCAATGCACTACGCGGCCCGCCGGAAGTGCGCCACGCGGCGCCACCGGTCCGACGGAGAATACGAGTTTCAGACCGCCGGGTTTGAGGGTGTTTTCGGCTGGGACCCCTTCATCAGTCCGACGTGACGGGCGTGTCCAGGCGCCCCTTATCCGCCCCATATTTGAACTGGATATGGAGGATGTCGGTCAGTCCGGGCGTTTGAGACCCGTTTGAGGCGTCCGTCTGGGTTGAAAAAACATGGACGGTCAGTGACCGGGCGGCCCGCTCGTGTGTATGAGGCGGGTTTGAGAGGTCCGGCTGTAGATTCTCTCGGTCTGTAACTTAATATAGTCTCAACATTGACTGTATACAGATGTCAGGAGTATTGACTGGATAGAAAGTTAGAAGCCGATATGCATGTGCTCCATTTGTGATCTGTCTATTCCTAACAGCTGGCATAAGTTTACGTCCTTGGAACATGGAGAGATATATGAGCACACTATTGCCAAGTGTTGACATTTGTGCATGTGGAAAAGGAAATAAGAATTCAGAATATGATGTATATATAGACTCATACCTACCACATTTCTCCCGGGTCGCTCCCTAGGGTGACTCCAGAGGCCACACTCGCTGCCAGGCCTAGACCACATCCATCGCTGCCCTTCCCCTGCCAACGGAGGAGGGCACCGGTGTTGACGGTGGCGGTAGGAAGCACCTTTCCAACTCTCTCCTTCCCTTCTCCCCCTGGTTGGCCGTCCTCCTTCAGCTGCAGATCAGCGATGTTCGTGCCAAGATCTCGTGTCATGTGCGCTGTTGGAGTGTCGATCCGGTACGCGGCCATCAACGAAGGCAGCGCCACTGGTAGTGTCCACCATGACGTACATCACGGGCGGTGTTGTGACACAGCGCTGGCACGGGCTCTGTCAGATCTGCCGGCGTGCGTTGTGGGTGGGTTGGATCCGACAGGATCTACCCTGTGGTGGCTCGCAGGCGGCCGGTGGTGGTGCTCTGAACGTTCTCGATGCAGCGAATGGCTGAATGCATTTCTGGTTTGCTTGGCGGCTTTCGGGATGCGTGCCACCATTGTTGGGCGTTTGTCAGGCCATATGCGCACATGTCTTGGCCGTGTGCTAGGCATGCAGATCTCGGCTGGCTTGATCCAATTTGGTGGATGCTCGATGGTGGTGCATTTTATTTCGTCGGGCTTCGCGTGCCAGGCTAACCTATGCCTCCCGCCCTCATGACGATCCGTCTTCACAGGATATCTGTTGTGCTTCGGTGATGGTCGGAGTGTGCCCCACATTGGTGCCAGGTGAAAGGACGTGCGGCCGTTGCTTGTGTCGTTAGATTTGTCGTCTCAATAAATGCCCGACGTGTGGTATTCACTTTGATCCGCAATTCCGGTGCTAATCGGGACATTCCAGCATGGCTTCTTCATTGAAAATTTAATGGCGGCAACACATAGGACTTCGTTTATGGTGTTGAATATAAGGTCTTGAGTTTCGAAATGAAAACTCTAGGTCTGTCCTTCATTAATTGTACCTGGCAGTGGCATTTTACGCTGCTTGTTCAAGGCCTTGTCTGGAGAATACCCAATGCTTCCCTTGTGGGTGGAAAGCATTGATCTGATCTATGTGGTTTGATCCGACGATGACAGTGTTTATGCATCGCTTCCTTGCTGAAGGTGTCGATGTTGGAGAACCTTCTCATTGTCTGGGTGTTGTCAAGGGCAGTGAATACTAGTTGATGTTTTGCCGAAGTGGGTCGTTCGCCTCGCCTTGACCCCATGGGTCCTTTTTCTCTTTCTTTCTACTCCCTCCGTTCCAAAATAGACGATCTAGTTTTGTACTAAAATTAGTACAAAGTTAAGTCATCTATTTTGAAACGGAGGGAGTAGTTGTGTGCATCTTAATTATACACTCACCGCTTGTCACTAGATTTGCATGCCCTCCCTCAAAAAAAAAAGATTTGCATGCCTTCCCCGACGTTTTCCGAGAAAAGCTTTGCAATACGGATAGGATATTACCGCCACGGGTGGAAAAGCCAGTACTGTCACGCGGTTTGGCGACGGCGCGATCCAGCAGGACCAGCACTGTTGAGAGAGACGTATGTATACCAAGCCGGTTCGGTCATCGTCACTTGTCAGCTTGCTGCCCACCCGACTGTGCGGCCTACACGACCTACTCCATAGCTGGGGCGCTCCGGCGGCAACTGGTTCGCACGGAAAGTTCGTCTGGGACGTAACAGAAAATGGCAGAACCACACCACAGGTTCGAGCCAACGGATTACGCGCCACTGTACACAGCTCTGTTCCATATCTGCATTCGCCGCGCCGCACGGAGCCATGTTTTGTTGGCCGTTCCCAACTGCATGTCCACAGTTGCACACGGCTCCCGTTTCCCTCCGGAGCAAGCAAGCAAAGCTAGGTCGCGCGACTGCTCGCCGGCCGACCAAGTCGCATGCAGGCAGTTCCGGCCGGTGCCCCAACGTGCTCCTGCTTTTCAACCGCAAGCTACAACTCAGCTAGATTTATTTATTCGTGCCCGCGCGGTGCTCCTGCACTCAACGACACGATGGGATCGGGGCGGCCCGTTAATTGTACGTTGACCAATGAGACGTTCTTACACGACCTATAGGGACCGCAAGCTACCTTTTTCTTCAAAACGAAAAACACGACCTATGCCACACAAAAGATCAAACCGTCCGTGAGTGGATTCAATGATGCAGTGCACCACCATATGTTGCATCATATGAGGACCGGACATAAAAACGCCGTGTATCAGCCCGATGTGGTGGCCGAGCTGTCCCATATCTGCCCCAAAAATGAGTTGGACATGACGGGTGCCGATCAGCCCGAGCGTCTTAGGCTCATTTGAGACGCCCGGACGGGTCGGGTTTTTTTTTCCGGTCAGTGAACGGGCCGAACGAACAGACGTTTGAGACCGGTTTGAGACGCCCGACTGTAGATGCTCTAAGTTTGATAAGCGGTGATGCCATGATTTGGCGGTAGTGTGTATGTATAGTTTTTGCTTCTTACGCAACCTTCAACATTGTCTCTTAAAACTGACACACTATTTGTCCGCCTATGTTCACTCCAATGCAGCTGTTAACTCCAATCGTTGGATCCAATCGAACAACCGCCCAACCATCTTCCTTCTTGCCCAACCCAACAATGCAGCTTCCCTGCATTGCCCTACAACACAGGCTTAACCACTCCGCCACCCGTGGACAACTGCTCTGCTACGGCGCCGAGTCACCCCCTTAACCATGTTGCAGCCATCCGGATAATCCCTCTATGCCCCCTCCCTTCTTCTCAGTCTCCGGCGTAGGTGGTCCACCCTGCACCCACAACTAAACAACCGGTCTCTACCCCGCCTTCACCTACAAACTGCGGCTACCCGCGTCATTAGCTCAGCGCTGCCCCTTCCGGCACATTCGCGAGCCTTGGTCGTGACGGTCCCGTCTCTAACTCAGTGCTGCCACTTCTCTCCTCTACTATCTCAAATTGAGTCGTCCAATTTTGGTTTTGAAGTAGCCGAGGATTAGCAAATTTAAAAAAATTAATTTGGTCTACTTAGTTTGTTTCAATACTTTAAATTGTAGCTTTTTCCCAAGCCAAATCTATACATACTTGAGCATGTCTATGAAAATACATACTGACATATGAACCATCCTGTATTTATATTTTTGTACGAAAATATGTTTGTGATGATGAATTTAATGCAACTATAGGAGATTAATGACGTGAAAGGGAGAGAGAAACATTGCGTGACCTCTGGAACATGGACGTCACGCTCTAGCCTTACCCAAAGATAAGTGACTTGGATCGGCCGGCGTCGTCGCTATGGATCTCTTGAGTCTACGCATGGTCTTGTCCATAGACATAAATACGGAGGCATCAATTCAATCACACGCATTTTAGTGCGTATATGGATGTTAGTCAGTCTTTTCGGAGAAAAACAGACACACGCGTACGAGTGTAACAAACACTGACGACCAATCGAGCGCGTGGCACGTGTAACTCCATTCCATGCACTGAGAAATTTTCCCTAGCCGTTGTGCAGCAATTTTGGTGAACGCCGGAAGCCATTTTTACCCGAGACGAGAGAAGAGAACAGGAGCAAGAGCCAAAATTGGAAATGTGGAATCGTCCCGGCAAAGAAAAAGAAGTGCGGAGTCGTCCGCGGTTTCTCGTTCTTCTGGCGCAGGACTCATCGTCGGCTGGCCCGTCAAATCGGTTCCGGTCAAAAGAACGTTCACCGGTGCAACAGCAAATACCCAACGAACACTGATGTTTTGCATTGGGTCCAACGGCAACGGGGACTTCAGGGTTGTCCGGATCCCACAGCACACACCGTGAGCTGGCTAATTTAGCTTCCAACCCATTTCGCGGGCCCTTCCGCCCACCCGCTCGTAACCGTAACCGCGTACCACCTAGGATACCGAGGAAGCAAGCAGGCTGAGCAATTACTCTGAACTGACGCGAGCGGAACAAAAGGTTCTACCCGTAACTATGGAGCAAGGCTGGTCGCCGCCGATCGCGACGGGCACCAACTCGTCAAGCCAAACGTGGTGTACACGTGACGAACCACGCTGCTACTACTAGCCAGTCCCCGCCACTCCACTATAAAAGGCTAACCACGCATGAACCGAGCCACATCCACAACGTACAAATTCCGAGCTCTTAATTCTCATCTCCTCCATCGTTTCGGACTAGCCGCAGCAGATGGTTTCGTCGATGCGGCAGTACACGGATCAGGCAGAGGCGCCCTTGTCCCTCTCCCTCTCGCTGTCCCTCGGCGCCATCGCCGACCGCAGCAAGAAGATGCGCCGCGGCGCAGATGGCGAGTTCGTGTGCAAGACGTGCAGTCGCTCGTTCCCGTCGTTCCAGGCGCTGGGCGGACACCGGACCAGCCACCTACGCGGCCGCAACGGGCTCGCGCTCGGCCTCGCTGCCGGATACGATCAGCCGGGGAGCAAGAAGATCACGGAGCAGAAGCAGGCGCACCAGTGCCACGTCTGCGGGCTCGAGTTCGAGACGGGGCAGGCGCTTGGCGGCCACATGCGGCGGCACCGTGACGACGCGGTCGCCACCACGGCGCAGGCACCGCTCGTGCTGCTCCAGCTCTTCCTCTAGCTGGTGTTCCATTGGTTTCTCTCCAGTTGGTTCAATATAGGTAGGCATCGAGTGCAGATTCACCGGTTAACCTGTGTGCGCGATTGGATTTGTACATTTGCTACACACTTGTAGGTGTTGATCGTTGGTTCATTCTCTCATTTTTATGATTATGTACATATTTAGGACTTGTTCGCTCGTTGATTACTAAGACTACATATACGTTACATTGATTTGTTCGTTATTCTGTTCTAACTGAGCCGCCTACGAGTTGAGTCGATCAATCCTGATAAACAACTCCCCCGAGGATCAATTCCATGTGTTTTTTGTTGTTGTTGTTGAAAGAGGGTCTTTGACTCTGTCGTTGAACAAATCCCTTGCTACCATCTTCAAGTGGCTGTACCCAAAGCAAAATCCCTGCGAGTGGCGGGGCCAGCAGCGCAAGAATGGGTGTACAGAGCACCTAAAAATCCTACTTTTACGCACATTTCCTCATTTATTTGATGTGCATTGTCCTATATACATGAATTATATATGTGCCTTTCAAAATGTTTGCCAAAATAATGGTTGTTCACTCCATCCAAATCCTAGTGTAGCTCCGCCAAAATAATGGCGTTCACTTGTACACCTTCTTCAAGTGGCTGCGCCAAAGGCATGAAATTCATGGGCCTTCATTTGATGAAGTGAGCACAAACATGATCAAATGTGTAGGGTTTTGAAAAACATGTAAAAAGTCAAAAACTAATTTAAAACAAAATTATGCAATAATAAAACAAGTCCACATAAATTGTGTATCCCCACCTAGATTTGGGTCTTATGTCATGCACTCACCACAACCAACAAGTTTTGAAACATATTTGATATATACTCAGTTGTGGAGAGATATTAAAGTCACATAGACCATCGACTGGTGTGGCTCATGAGCTACACATTTTGATCAAGGTTTTTGTCTAGTGTTGATAGATTGCAGGTATTTGTAGGAATGGCATATCTACAAAAGAAATAATCATGTATTCATACACGAGTTAAACCTCCTCTATAGCGCTCAACCCTTAGTCGTGTGCGGAAGGAAATTGTGTGTGGATAAGGCGGAAATCGCTTGGAATCCTAGGTACAATAGACATAATAGAAGTGAGAACACAAGCATAGATGGAGGTGGATGGGTTGGGTTCATCCCTATAGTTTTGTATGGAAGTATATGCAATGCCTTTATTTTCATTTTTGCGTCTAATCGGCGGGACACTCTTATTCATCTTCTTGTATCGACAATGCATGCAATCCTAGTGTAGCTCCGCCCATGCGTGCTACCATTTCCAAGTGGCATCACTTCAACATTGCATGCAATCGTCCACCTACCACCATTACTTGTGCTTACCATCTCCAAGTTGAAGTTGCTAGCCCTCTCGAAGTGTTGAAGGAGATGATAATCAACAATATGCTAAATCATCGGCGGGGAAGACAGAGTGTATTCGACAAAGAGAAAATAAGTGAGCAAAAAGTATGTGATACTTGTGCTTCGGAGAGGGGGGCGTGAAATCTACGTTTCGACTGTGGGTAACTAAATGATTATGTGTGTACAAACTGGAGAAGTTGTATGAAGCGCTAAGTTAGTCGCCGGGTGGTAATTGCAGACCATTTGTCACATCAAAAGAATAGGGAACACTAGTAGAAAAGGGGGCAAATCTGAGACACAGTGCCGGTTTGGTTTTGAGCTGGCACTAATGTGTCCATTAGTGCCGGTTCCAACGGCTAGCCGGCCGCTCTCATTAGTACCGGTTCGTGGCAAACCTTTAGCACCGGTTCGTGCCACGAACCGGTACTAAAGAGAGTGGTGGCAGGATTTTGTCAGTCTGGGGCCCGTCCAGCACCTTTAGTACCGGTTCGTGGCACGAACCGGTACTAAAGGTCTACGTACATAAACCCTTCGTCCACCCGAGCCGCTCTGTTCTTCCCCTTTCCCCTCACTTCCTCTGTTCTTCCCCTCTCTTCCTCGAGCTCCTCACAAATTTTGCCCAAAATTTGTCAAGATTTGAAGGCCCCCATCCATTCAAATGATCACAAAGGTTAGCAACTTTGTCCTTTCAACTATCATTGCTAGATTAGCTCTTGCAATGCTTTGTATAGTGATTAATTTGGGAGGAATTATATTTGCTAGTATTTGATTTATATGCAATTTGAGGTCAAAGATAACACTTAGTTTGCATATGTAGGTGTAGTTTACTTAGTGCCTTCTAAATCTCCGTCGTAACCACTGTCGATCGCCCGCACCGTCCCGTCGCCGGCACCACCTTGTGGTGAGGCTCTTGTTCATGAATGTTTTACATTACCAAATTAATGTTTGTGTGATTTGGATATATAGTTACTCGTATAATTATCTTACCCGTACGTTGTTTGTTATACATAGTACCATGGTTTTGATATCCGTCCCCGTCGGCCCTCGTCCTTGTTATGATTTGGATGTGGTATATTCTCTTTTAAAACTAGTTGTTGCATTTCGTGTTTATGACAAATTATGCCCATCAAGTTGACATAGATATTTTTATCTAGGAGGTATGTGAACCGGAAATTCCGACCGACCCTATTGTATAGAGGTTAAATTTAGTTGAAAGAGAAAACGAGTATTTGAAAGAAAAAATGAAAAGAATTGAGGGGGAGAAGATGGAATTGGAGTTGCATGTTGCCGATGTCGACGATGATCACAAGATCAAGATGGAGAAAATGAGGTTGAAGATTAGAAAGATTAGAAAATATGCCATTGATAGTGTGGCTTGGTATCATTATGCTGTTGGACCAATTGTTACCTTAGTTGCGATCATGATCGCATTTGTTTTTGCATTTAAATTCTTTAGCTAGAGAGTTATTTGTATGTTGCATTTAATTAAGTGTTGTATATGAACTTTATGTATGAACTTGTATTAATTTGGTCTATCGGTGTTGTGTAATGAAGATGAGCCGACAGTGGATGTATGATGACCGATGCTCTCCCGAGTTCATTAATGGCGTGCATACTTTTCTGCTTGCCGCTGAGGCAAACAAGCGGGCGGATGGTTTTATGCCTTGTCCATGTGCTGGCTGTAAGAATGGTCACATTTACTCTACGTCAAGAACCATTCACGTCCACCTATTTGAGTCCGGTTTCATGCCCCACTATAATGTTTGGACCAAGCACGGAGAAATAGGGGTTATGATGGAAGACAATGAAGAAGAAGAGGATGACGACGGCTATCCTGGCCATGGGTTCCCTGAGTATGATGATACAACAATGGGGGAAGAAGCTGAGCCGGCAATGCGGGAAGAAGCTGAAGAAGAGGCATCAGATGAGCCCGCTGATGATCTAGGTCGGGCCATTGCCGATGCAAAGAGAAACTGCGCAAGTGATCTAGAGAGGACGAAGTTGCAGCGCTTGTTAGAGGATCACAAGAAATTGTTGTACCCGAATTGCGAAGCTGACAAAAAAAAGTTGGGCACCACACTGGAATTGCTGCAATGGAAGGCAGAGAATGGTGTATCTGACAAGGGATTCGGAAAGTTGCTGGTAATGATAAAGAATATGCTTCTAAAGGACAATGAATTGCCCGAGAGTACGTATGAAGCAAAGAAGGTTGTCTGCCCTCTAGGGTTAGAGATGCAGAAGATACATGTATGCCCTAATGACTGCATCCTCTACCGCGGTGAGTACGAGGATTTGAACGCTTGCCCGGTATGCGGTGCATTGCGTTATAAGATCAGTCACGATGACCCTGGTGATGTCGAGGGCGAGCGCCCCAGGAAGAAGATTCCTGCCAAGGTGATATGGTATGCTCCTATAATACCACGGTTGAAATGTTTGTTCCAAAACAAAGAGCATGCGAAGGCGATGCGGTGGCACGCAGAAGACCGTAAGAAAGACGGAAAGTTGAGAGTACCCGTTGACGGTTCGCAGTGGAGAAAAATCGAGAGAAAGTACTGGGAGGAGTTTGCAGGTGACCCAAGGAACGTATGGTTTGGTCTAAGCGTAGATGGCATTAATCCTTTTGGGGAGCAGAGCAGCAACCATAGCACGTGGCATGTGACTCTATGTTTGTATAACCTTCCTCCTTGGTTGTGCATGAAGCGGAAGTTCATTATGATGCCAGTGCTCATCCAAGGCCCTAAGCAACCCGGCAACGACATTGCTGTGTACCTAAGGCCATTAGTTGAAGAACTATTAAAGTTGTGGAATGGAACAGGTGTACGTGCATGGGATGAGCACGGACAGGAAGAATTTGACCTAAAGGCGTTGCTGTTCGTGACCATCAATGATTGGCCTGCTCTTAGTAACCTTTCAGGACAGACAAACAAGGGATACCGCGGATGCACGCACTGTTTGGATGATACCGACAGTATATATTTGGAGAGTTGTAGGAAGAATGTGTACCTGGGACATCGTCGATTTCTTCCGAGCAGGCATCCCGTAAGAAAGAAAGGCAAGCATTTCAAAGGTGAGGCGGATCACCGGATGAAGCCTCGCCACCGTACTGGTGCTGATGTACATGATATGGTCAAGGATTTGAAGGTAATCTTTGGAAAGGATCCTGGCGGACAACCTGTTTCGAAGGACGCTGACGGACGCGCACCCATGTGGAAGAAAATCTATATTTTGGGACCTGCCATATTGAAAAGACCTAGAGGTCCGCTCCGCAATCGATGTGATGCACGTGATGAAGAATCTTTGCGTGACCCTGCTTGACTTTTTGGGCATGTATGGGAAGACAAAAGATACACCAGAGGCACGGGAGGACCAGCAACGTATGCACGGAAAAGACGGCATACGTCAGGGTCAGGCCAGCTATGCTCTTACCAAAGAAGAGAAGGAAATCTTCTTTGAATGCCTGCTCAGCATGAAGGTACCGTCTGGCTTCTCGTCGAATATAAAGGGAATAATAAATATGGCAGAGAAAAAGTTCCAGAACCTAAAGTCTCATGACTGCCACGTGATTATGACGCAACTCCTTCCGGTTGCATTGAGGGGGCTTCTACCGGAAAACGTTCGATTAGCCATT